CAAATTAATTATAAGAATATTTTTAAGGTGAAATTTGAAATTAATGATTTTGGATCATTTCTTGTATGTTTGGTCACAAAAATGATAGTGTCCCTCTCATTTCGTCCTCTGCATTTAAAAGTCTCGGATCTTTTTTTCGTTTTATATTTGCTAATACTGAAAATCCGAATGCACGAAAATGAGATGTAGTAAATTCTAACAATATTTTAAATCCTGTTTGGCTATTATGAGATAATCGCTTCTAATTTTAATTCAAAATAAATTAATGGACTCTTCCTCATGTCGTGAAATTAAATCTCGATTATTACAGAGTAAAATTAGTTTTCCCTTTTCTTTTAAAGTTAATTCACATTAAGATGCATCCGTATCACAAATGGACTACGAACCCAATCAATTTTTTTATATCCACCTATCTACGAAAGCATAAGTTGCATAGACCAAGATTATACCCTTAGTTTATTTCTATAAAAGGGGCCAAATGATTCAGTTCCGGATTTTATTTTTTCCCCTCAAAGTATAATTAATAATTAAAAAAAAAAACTGGCGGGCCGCATTTCAAGAATTTGACGACTCACAAAAGTGTAATAGCTCACAGTAGTAGGGGATCACTGCTCTCTCTACAAGATAATAAAGTTTGAATGATTTTCTGTATTATTGATATCGGAGCTATTTTCTGTATGAAAAAAAAAGCTGAGTTCATATCCGAAAGCAGTTTTAATATGGAGGATAGAGTTGCTACTGTGGTGGACCGGTAATTCTGGCATAAAAAACTTCAAATGACTGAGAACTTACAAATACCTCAAAACATTGGAATTGAGCATCAGCATTTCATTTTCTCATTGCATATCTGTTTAATTTCGATAAAACCTGTGTAATTTAAAAAAGAGTTTTGAAGAAATTCATTTGAAGAACCATAGAATTGAATCCTTACGTATGATTTTGCGGAACGAAAGTTTTTTATGTCACCAAATAAAAGAAATTCTGATGTTTTAAAAGCGGGGGAAAATCACCCATTTAAGTAATCTCATAAGAAAAAAGCCTACTTAATGTTTTCATTTTAATCATATTATGTTTACAAGGTAGCTTTCTTTATTGTTCTTTAGGATTATGTAAATTGGTTGAATCCTCTTAATTCTTCTTTTGTGTGTGTGTGTGTTACTTAACGTCCCCCCCCCCCTGTGTTTAAACGCGTGTTTAAATAAAGGGGAAATGTTTTATGGGATATTTCCCTTTGTCCGTCGTCACCCAGGCATGGGTGCCCTACAACCGGTTTCTCTGCAGAGTCATTGAGAGAGCAGGAAAACTCTCGCGGAGGATTTATTGAATTCACTTCACTTCTACCCCGTAATGGTTGACGTCAGATTGCAGTGAGTACTCATTACGAGAAGCGTTATTGGCTACTAACTTCGTTATTTTGAGCTCGATCTCGGGCGACGAGGTTGATATTTGAGTTATGACAAATAAAAATGAAAATGTAAGTGTTTATTGACGTCGTACTATAAACCAACACGAGGGGTATTGGCGACGAACTTCGGTCAAAAAACGAGGGTGACAACACTAAACTGGCACCACCCTCTCCAAACTACCACATCAAACGGTATGGCACTGAGCCACGACAGATTTAACTTGCATCAGCCCCTCTACACGGTGTATCTTCTTTGACATCAGGACTCGAATCCGCGACACTCCAGCCACGAGTCGGTGACCGTAACCGCTAGGCTACCCCTTACACGCAACTTTAGCAAAAAATCACTTTAAAAATAAATGTATAATGTCGATTCGATTGTTGGTCTCTTTGATTTTATTTCATAGGGATTTATTAGGTTCCACGGCCGGTATCCTATTCATGCAGTTTTGTTTCTGTTTATTGCGACAGAATTAGACTTTGCTACACTAGGCTAGACAAGACTAGACTGGAAATCAATTTAGTCTGAAGTAAAGTTTTCTTTGCTAAGTCTGCGATCCGAAGAGCGCACCTGAACGAAATAACCTGCCAAGATTTCGAACCAGGGCGTCTTCAGTGTCTGCTAAAAGACAAACGGACCATCCATTTGTCTGGCCCGTCGCAGAAAGTGGCAAGAATTTGAATTTTGGATTCGTTAAGGGGAAGGAGAGAGACATAAGTTGCCGGATTCGTATCTGGGCGACTTTTTCCCCGGCGCGGATCGATGGGGTTCCAAAATAGCGCACTCTTACTCTAACACGCGATTGGAACAACTCCAGGGGAATGCACGCGAAGTGTCACCGGGCATATAGGATTGACATTCTTGATATTCGACTCGTTAAGCGACACCGTTTCGTGTTCTGGTGGAGGATGAAGAATGAACGGTGTCGATCACGCTTTCTTGGAGGAAAAGAACTTCGAACGAAGGGATGTTTGAAAAATGGTGTCAAACTTTCTTTTAAAGCAAATTTTCTTTTAAATTGAATGATATGAATGAGTGAATATATTAGCATCGCACTGTTCAATTGCACGAGGGCTTTGGGCGACGGACCTCGTAATTTTGAACCATGGTCAAGTGACGAGGACGACACCTGAGCTGGCACCCCCCCCCTCTTTTAACATACCATACCACGCCAACGGGAGGGCATTTGAGCTCTCGACAGATTTAACGTGCATCGCTCCCCAACACGACGGGTCTTTAGTGGTACTGGGCTCGAACTCATGACATACCAGCCATGATCCAATACCTTGACCACTAGATTACCGCGGCCACTGAATGAGATGAAGCTCACACTGCGTGTAGTGTAGAGTATTTTTTACAATTCTTACCATTAGTTCACTCTCTCCCTATATATATCTTGTTCAAATTTTCAATCTATAATAAAAATACTTTCTATTCGTCCATTTTTGTAATTTTTTTTTATTGAGAACATTTATAAACCTCGTGCACCACACAATGCATCACACGGGGGCTTACAACACAAACATCCATGCCTTCTCCTGGATTAGAACCCAGGCCCTACGGCACTGCAATCAGCGTCACTAACCACTATACCGGATACACATTTTTTTTAAAACTTGTAGTGGATGACACTTGATGTTAATACATTTTTTTCAAATATTAATTCATTAGTTAAATTAAAAAAATGAATAAGTAGTTACAAACAAAAATAATAGTCCAACATATATAGAAAGGAAAATCGTTCGTCTTATTGCTGTAGCGCAATGGATAGCGCGTTGGACTTGTAATCCAAAGGTCGTGGGTTCAAATGTCACCGGGGATGGCCTAATTTCTGAGAATGTGATTTCTTCTTTACTATGCTATTTTATTAGCATAATTAAATTTAATAAAGGAATATATAAATAGTAACAAACAAAAAAATAGTTTAACACCCTAGATGGAAAGGAAAATGGAAAATTGCAAGGAAAATCGCTTTCTATTTTGTCACTTAATATTGTGATTCAGTCATTTATGTATACATATTTATATTAATTGTAACTATTTAATAAAAAGTAACTAAAATAAAAATTTTCTTTGTTCATTTAAGTAGGAATTGACTTAAAAAACATTTTTTTATATTACTTGTTTTATTATTAATTCGTTCTGTTAGGGAAATGATTGCGTATTTCAAAACACGAATATTTAAATATTTTTAGTGTAAACCTCATTCGGAGGAAAAACTACTCTAGGGCGAACTTTCTTTTAGTTTTGTACAGGATTTATACGACTTCGAGTTCTACTACTTGACTTTCTTTTTTTATTTATTTTGGGTGTACCGCACACAAGCTCGTTTTTTGGAAAACATCGATGGATGATCCACCCCAGCAGTTTTCGTTATCTCCAACTCGTCTCCTTATCAATAGCTTTTCCCTAATGTCTTGATCTCGGCTGTGCATCTGATAAACTTGGTGAACATAACTAGACCTTGCACTAAAAAAACCAACCCCTTTGATCGATTGATTATGTTGTATTGCATTTTGAAACGCGCTTTTGGCGAAAGATTGGGCTATTGGAATTTGGAACTAGGGTCAAATGACGAGTATGACACTCGAGCTGGCGTCTCCCTCCAAACTCCAAATTTCTACACCACGCCAACGGGGGGAGGGTTTTGAGCTTTTTGACAGATTTAACGTTCATCACTCCCGATACATGCCAGGTTTTAAATGGCACCAAGACTCAAACAGGTCGTGAACTCCCCAGCCACGAGTTCGTAACCATGACCACTCGGTTATCACGGCCATTTTACAAAGCACCATAATGCCATGATTCGTTGCATAAGGGCGAGTAGTGTAATAAATAATAATATTCCGGAGTCCTCTAGAATAGTCTTTTCCTGGATTTATTGGTAACAATAACTTTCAACAATAAACTTAACAATCTTGAACAAATTAAACCATTACATTAATTAGACTGAAACTAAAGAGAATTCTAATATTCAAGATAAAAATCCTAGTGAACAACGGCACCTGGTACGCCGAAGCCAAGAATTACGAGTAAACATCAGCACATATAGTTATGCTGAAGCCAAGTTCAAGATTCAACTGTGTCAGAATTCGTTACATAGGGTTTCTATCGAGATAGACCACGTGGTGTCTGAGGGTGGCGTCAACCACGCGCTCCGCCCACTCAGACCACCCGGTCCATAATTCACAACATAGTATGTTCGGGTCTCAGGATGAGACCGTTGATGCAAATTGAAGTTGTTGCATCTACAAGTCCACTGACATGACTAAGATTCAGAAGTACAAGTGAGTGAGAGTGGTGTTTTACGGCGCAAGAACTAATTTTGGCTATACTGCGCCAAACACAAGATTCGTCTCTGATCTAGACGGGAAAAGAAAGAAAGCAGGAATTGGATGACAATAAGGAGGGTTGAAAGTAGAGAAGGATCACTAAGGTACCCCGGGTTCGTGAAACCCGTGTTTACCAAAGACAGTAAACCCCTTGGGAAAAGGAAAAATCGCTAGTACACCTCGGGATTGTGACACCCGTACTCATCTAAAGAGGGTGAGCCCCCTGAGGGAAGGAGTAACGTGCTGTCTTCTTTCGTATATTTGTCAGAAGTAGGGTTCGAAGCCATGCTCTCTTTCGTGCACCAGAGCTTAAATCTGGCGCCTTAGACCACTCACCATCCTGACACCAGAAGTACAAGTTCTGGGAACTTTCTAACATGGAGTTCATAAACCTGTCATTACTCTTTCCTTTTTTTAGTATCGTTGTTAACCATTCCACTTAACAGTATTGTTAAAGAAGCTTTACTGAGCTGCAAAGTAAACATCGAACAAAATGTTTCTAACGAACTTCATTTTAAGTCTTTACTGTATGTTTAAGTAAATGATTAGAGGGAGAGAGAGAAGAATGTTGTGTGCTCTTGCCTGTGTTTCTACAAGAAGTTACTTTCGAATAGTTTGCACTTAAGTTTTTAAATCTTTTTAAAAAAAATTAAAATGAAATAAAAAAAATTGACACCTTCAAATAAAGATTTAATATTGTACAAACGTGTCATTTTTAAATTTCTAAATAACTTCTAAATAATTCACTTCCTTTTTTTTATTTCCTTGTTTTTGTACTGTATAAGACTTACACGTTTATAATAAATGGCTCAAGTATGTTCTTATACTACGATGCTTAATTTAATTGCGATATTTTCTCTATAAAAAGTAATAAGGTCTTGTTAATATTCAGCAGTCGTAAATCTGTGTTTGGCTTTGATTCTATATGCGTAGAGATACTTTATTTTCCAATGAAATGTGTTTGAGTCGACGGTTGGCTTGTACAAGAGAAGGAAGCATACGTAACCTCACTGTAGAATGTAGCTACTATTTATTTTGTGGTTGCTTATTTTATATGTAAGACAAGTTGTATTTTACTTATAGAATGGTTTTTATTCCTTTATTGTGTGGAACGTGTGGTGTTGCCCATTTCTGACCGTACTGTGATTCAAAGGTTCGTATCTTTGAATCACAATTAGAAGACAAGTCGATTCCTGAGTAGGTGTCCCATATTCATGGCAACTTTCGAGTCTTGACAAATATAAAGTGCTTTAGCTACCGCTAAGCAAGGAGTTTGTAGTGGAATCGGGACTCGAACTCGTGACTTAAGCACCACGAGATCGATGCCTAAACTGTTTAGCTTCGGCAACCATACCTCATACTTTCGTCGTGTTTTGTTTATCTCTCTCTCTCTCTTTTTTTTGATGGATTTCTAATCTGAACCCAAACACTAGCTGTTTGAGAATTATAAAGTGTTCGTATTACTTGACTAGTTTTTTATTAAATATATAAAAGAAATAGGCTGATGAAAGTACCCAAGGGGAAAATGCCCTAAAAGAAAAGATTATTTGTTTCTTATATTTTTAAGTATATTTTATATTCTCATATTAATTTTATATTAACGCATAGCCTTGACAGTATTCATTATTCAAGCGAGTAGTGATATTTTCTCTTCATTACCTCCTTGTGAGTTCACAATTAAACTGCAAAATAAAATACCACCAATTAAATGTCTGAATACTTTTTTTTTTTAGTTTATCATAATGTGTGTGTGTGTTATAATATATCATGGTTAAAGAGGAAGAAAAGTAGAGGAAGTTGACCTTGTAGCGCTTTCAAAGGGAACAATAACCAAAAAGATATCCACCCATATTTTGTCTCTAGTAAATGTTCAAAAAATTGCCCAGCTGCTGAACCATGCAATTCTTAAAGTGCTTTTCACAAGCGACCTTTTTAAATAATCTTATTAAGACACTTTAAGAATAAAACCTAAGACTTACCCCTCTCCTCCATAAAATGTCATTCGTTCAAGTTTTGACCTACAGTTGCTCGAATAGGAACAAAAATTAATACAACCCATTATTTTCCAACAGCTCAAAGACTTTTAACACGTGAAGAAATGATATATTAAACGGTACCAAGTCTCACAGCTCCACTGATTCAAAAAACCGTGAACCGTTCGTGGACCTTAAATGATGAGCAAGCCTGTCCCTTTCTGTTCCGAGTCATCGCCCGCGACACTTAGCATCTCCGCTCATCTGCGAAGCAGAAGAGGGTGGGGAAGCGCGTGAATATCCCTCTTCATCCCTTCTTTTCTTTTTTTAATGAACTCCCTTCCCCTTCTCCATCCACCCTTGAAATGGATTCTCTCCTTCCCCACTTGGCACGCTTCGGAGAACCTGCTACTCGGCTTTTTTGTCAACGAACTTTTGTCGTGCCACCATTGTTGTGGGGCAAGGCCGTTTGATCTGTTACATCGGTTGGTTTGATTGGATTGGACTGACGCTCCGCTTCAGGACAATACCGTGAACACCCCACCCCGGCAGGAGTCGTATGAAAAGTTTGGTGGACGATTTCGTGTTCAATTTGATTGAGAACAGTTTTATTTTTTAAAAAAAAGAGCTTACATGAACGTGCGTATGTGTATTAATCCACTGTCCATAAAATATGGCGTGGATTGCAGAGAATAATTTGTGAGTTCATTCATAACCTCCGCATATCACCGTTGTTCAAAGTTACGAGGCTGTGGTTAGGAACCTATAAATCGGGGACGTGGTCGTGATAGCTTAGTGGTTATAGTCATGAACTCATGGTCAAACTATTGCGGGTTCAAATCCAGGTGCCACCGAAGACCCGTCGTGTATAGGGGCCGATGCACGTTAAATCTGTCGAGGCTCAATGTCCTCCTTTTTGGCGTGGTGGGATAATTAGGAGAGGGTGATGCGATCTCAGGTTGTACAAAATGATGAGGTCCGTCTCCAGTAGCCCTCGTGTTGCTTTATAGTTTGCCATTAATATAACTCCTACTCAGTCCAGATTGAGCATAAATTGACATAACCGGAAGACGCTTTACTTTTGTAGTTGTCTAGTGGTCAATATCACAAGCTCATAGTCAGCGATGTTTCAGTGACTTCTTGTGTTTTAGTATTCATTCTTTTTAAGACCCTTCATGTAGAGTCAATATACACTAAATCTGTCTGGGTTCAAATTGTAGAAGTTGGACTGGTGTGGATGTGGAAAGTTAAAAATTCTTAGCTTTTTGGAGAATAAGTCCGAAAATAACATTTTTGACAGTTAAAATTATTCAGTTCATGATCTTACTGAGGGCGAATAGAGAAGAGTCCCTTGTGCCATTAATTTCAAATATCCATTCCGAGTGAGTGTTTATTGACGTCATACACTACTACGAAGCAACACGAGGGCTATTGGCGACGGACCTGAGTTTGCACCACGCCAACGGGAGGACTTTAATTTGCATCAGCCCCTCTACACGGTGGGTCTTCAGTGGCTCCAGGGCTTCGGAAGTTGACACGCCAGTCATGAGTCTGTGACCATGATCACTAGCCGAAGACACGGTAGCCACTTCCACAGTCTTAAAATAACACTTTGAGGACTGTTCTTTCTTTCAACGAGTTGTGTTTGTTCCGTCTCTAAACGATTAGTTGTCTTCCAGGCAACCAATTCGTTCGTTCAGATTGCATTGTTGGGACATCCCATTCGCTATTTCGAGCCATTCAACGCATGCCAGTCACTTCTAATATCCCCTCATAAGAAAAGTCCCTTGTTACTTTTGACTTAATTATAGTTTTCGTGTTACTTCTATATGCCACGTTAATAAACAATCGTTAATGACTTTGCATATGGCTGCGTGTATGTTTAGTGGCGTAACGGAGAATATTAGCGCCCCCCCCCCCGTAAAGTCAGTTTTTTTGGCCCTAAGCCAGATCTTATAAAGGATCGCAAAACCATAACATATGCTTTGGGACCCCTAGAATTCTCCCCCAACCGCGATGCAGATATTGCCCGGGGGATTGTATGTTACGCTACTGCGTATATTTGCATTTATAAATTTTCGTTTTAAAGTTTGTGAACATGATAATTTTTCTTTATGCTCTCTTCTATCGCATGTCTTCTAAAAAGGTAGAAAATTTTATGTGTGTGGGATTGTCTCAAAACGATCTCATGATATTCTCTAATTCAAGTGGTACCCAGCCCCCGGTCCGTGGATCAAATAGTATCTGGCTGCCCAAGGAGCATTAAAGTATTTCCATTTTTTTTTTTTTTTTTACTGAGGTGTATTTCTCTCGGATTTCTGTGACTTTCCATGGAAATAACTTTATATTCCATGTTAAGTCACTTGATATTCATTTTTTTGCGGTAACTGTATTTTACCCTGAAAGCAAATTTAAATACTATTAAATTTTTTTAAAAAAAACCTAAAATAAAAGTAATCAGCGTCCCACCCTCAGCGTGGCCGTTGTAAAATTATCAAACGATGACCAGTCCTTGGCGTTTAAAAGGTTGGAAAGCACTGCTTTTATTTATTTAATCAGTTGTGACGGATTTTTATGCGTCCTTTCACTAACCCTCTTGGGAATTCTTTAGGGCTATTAAAAATATCAACCCTCTCCTAAGACGACGACATGATATGCAAATTACGTTGATTATATATATATATATAGTTCAGGTTCGCGCGAGTTATAAGGTTAGAAAGTGAGCGGGTTAGAAAGTTAGTTAACTAAAGGTGACAAGTGAAGAAATACGGAAAAAGGTTAGAAAGTCCGTGTGAGAGAACAAAGACAGGAAGGTGATATTGATAAAGAGATTGAAGGATTAAGCCTTATTAGATAAGAAGACTGTCTACAGAGTTAAGGTATTAGTCACCTTTATAATACGTTTGATATTTAAAGTATTAAAGAGGCTAAGTGGCAATAAGCCACTTAACCTTTTACCGTGTAAAGCAATATTGAGGTAAAAGATTGATTATTATAAAGGTTTATATATATATAATTTATTAGATGTATTCTCTAAAAACGCGACTCTCGTTTCCTCCCTCTGTTGACTGATTGGAAACATCCTATTATTTGTGATTCATTGAATTGTTTTTGAGTTAATTTAAACGTTGAATAAATAATTTGAAATTATCGTGTCGAAGCATCCTTCACTTCCTCCCACACCTTTAGCTGGGTCACAAGGTAAATTGGGGGGGGGGGGTACACAGTGCAATTTATAAAAGTACTGAATGTTGTGAATCTGCTATATTCTGTAGTCAAAGTCGGCATGTTAAGCATGGACTGTTGTTTTTAATAAAACATATTTTTTAATATTATTTTGAGGTAGATTTAAGAACAAATTCGAATATCCTT